CATCGACATATGCATAACAGTTTGACGTTACAGTCTATAGTCTATAGTCTATAGTCTACAGTCTATAGTCTACAGTCTACAGTCTACAGTCTACAGTCTACAGTTTACAGTCTACAGTCTACAGTTTACAGCCTACAGTCTACAGTCTACGATCTACAGTATGGAGAAGATTCTAAAGACCGTTTTCAATAAAGGCCTTTGTAGTTCTAATATTAATTATGAGCAATATGAATATAATCATGGAACCATTACTAGCTATTTATTTACTATGCAACACGCTCTACGAGGGAAGGATTAAAATAACTAATGGACGATCATTTGCAAAATCTGAAACGACCTTTTAGTTTAGTTTACTACTAATTTAGATTCAATCTTTCAGCCGTGTAATAGACTGAAGTTGAAGCAGATGGTCATATGTACGAGACAAGACTGACTGGTTAGCGATGAATTAAGGATACGTATGAAATATTACGTTCCAAAACTTGAAACAAGTTTTCCTCCAAACATTGTTTCTACAATATAAACGGTGCGCAGGGTATTTCGAGATCTTATCAACTTCGCAGATATCTTTAGCATAGTATTTGTTAGATATTGACGTTCGACTTGTTAAAAATTGTTAACAATGTCGGAAAATATTAAGGTAAGACTTGGATATGTTTTGCGAAAATTCAATAGGTTAACTCTATAAATAGCTGCCATTTTGATCAGTTTTACAAATATTGAAATGTTTGAACGCGAATGCCTAGAGAGTATGTTATAGTTATAATCCATTTTAATTTTCTTATCTCGCTCACCCCATCTTACTGAAATCCTACACACCGAAAGGCCATATTGAAAAAAAATAACTTCCGAATGATGACATCGCAAAGTTAAATAAGGAAATTTTTTCAAAAACTTAATGTTGTTTTACATAGCTCATAATACGTTGAAATAAGTCTCAAAATCTGTATATCGATCAAGCGTTTACTTTTTCTCCGGTGTTCCTTTAAAGTATCATTAATTTTTCAGCTCGTCAAACTATCCTGCCCTCTTACAAAGCAACCAACAGCATATCCTATATTGGTAAGAGAATCGTTCGGGTTAGGTTTTAGAAATAAAAAGTTCCAAAAACACCTGTCCCCTATTTTCGCTTACAAAGTACGTGTATCGATCTGTATGAATGTGAATTGAGATTTAGCATTTTATTAAAAATATATTTATTAAATTAATAAAATTAGATTAATTTTTCTAAAAAATTTCTACATGTCTGCGTTCCCCGTTTAAAAAAGGTATATTTTGGCGAAAGAAGTTTACCACTAGTCCTTTCCATTTCTAAGATGTTCCAAAGGATATGTTTCCCTAATTTTTTCGCTGCTGTTTTTCATATATGTATGCATACATACATACATACATACATACATACATACATACATACATACATACATACATACATACATACATACATACGTACGTACGTACATACGTGTGTGTGCGTGCGTGCGTGCGTGCGCGCATGTGTTATTTTTAATATGGACGATGGCCGATAAAAATAAAAATACATGAGAAATGTTTTTTTCATAAGTATCTCCTATATAAATCTCTTCAAATTCGGTGTGGGCGAGTTGTTGAATATTTTCCCTCGTAAGGAATATTGCGAGCAAGTTGAAACGATATTTGAAACTGGAATCTTTCTTCTGCAGCAGGTATGTAATTGCGATGTGACTCTGTTTACTGGTTTGGAAAAAATGCCATTTAGAGTGTATCGTATGAAAGATGAATCTACCGGGTTTGCTCTCAAGTCAATAAAGTCCTCCAAGACTTACGTGTCTATGCTTTATCTACGCATGTGTCAGTCCCTCCTCGTCTCGTCCTCGTTTGGCTAACCCAAGTATTTCACTTCATTGTCTTATCTCATTGTCTTACCTTAAAGAGAAAAATCATCCATTGGAGGTTCTTTTAGTCGTGAACGATACTTCAATTCGCTCTTCTAATTTCATAGATGATTTATTTCATAGTTGTAAAGTCCATAAATAAAGAAATGATCGCAAGTTTATAAAAAATGCTTTACACTAAGGAATTATTTGGGAAATATTTCAAGACCTCCAGCGATATAATTCTAAAAGATCATTCCAATACAGCGGATGCCAGACTTTCACTTGTAATTGTTTAATAGGTAGTGTCGGTTGTACTTGAAAGTTGTTAGGACCTAACGTTGTAAATTCAATGGGCTTCGAAAATATTCAATAGTCGGATAGATAACTTATTATACATGAAATTACGTATACATATGTACACTTATACGAGGTTAAAGATCAACGAAGATAACATAAATGGTTCGATGAAGGACTACATACAAGCTGCGTAACAAGAATGCAGGTGCATCGAAGCAACAGGAAGCTTTCTGTCATGAAATTGAGGACAAGGATTAGAGGATAGGTTTTAGAACATTCTAGTTAAAGATCTTTTAGAATTATTCTTTTATTGTTAGTGGAATGTTCTTTTGTTGTTCCATCTTTTGAAAGATTATGACTCAGATATCGCTACTGTAAAAAGCAATTTTAATCATCGGTAATAATACCTCGATTACATATTTCCGAAAACTTCAAAATCCGCAATGGGAAAGTTAACCTTAAATTGAATCTTTAAACGACTTTCCATAGATCAAATTCGCACAGGATAATTAAGAGAAATAAAAACAATCATTTTTCTCCCTCTATCTCCAATAATTTTTCACAACATTTTTCTAAACATACACGTGTACGTGCAATGTATAAAAATGAAACATAGGAACGCTTCCTTTTTTATCTTCTAGGTATATTTGTACTTAAGACTTTTTATTATATTCGAGTGGTAACTTTCTTGTTACTATCGTAGCTCGAAACATATTATCTTTAACCCTTAGAGTGCTGAATACTCGCGGCCTATGTGGTCCGTACGGACGGCGCGCGGCCACCGCTGACGATCGCTGTGGACGGAATACTTTTTCGCTAGACTGAACTCTGTTCATGAACTATTCTAAGCGCAAATCGTAATAAGTTGTAGTAATTCTTTCGCACGAGATTAAATGATTCAAGAGCGTTATTTTTTAGTATTAATTCTTTATTATTAACATTGAAATTTAAAATAAACTAAAATTTGTGTAATAAAATAGAAAACAATAAACTAGAAAACTAAATTTAATAAATATAACGGAAGTCAATAATTCAATTTTGTGTGGAAAATTACTAACGAGTGCCTCTGTATTAATTTTACACGAAAGTAACTGCATATTGATTGAAAAAATTGACAAACGCATATATGCGCCCTTAGTCCAGGCCGATGACAGAGAAAACACATAAATGCGGCCTTAGGCTACACGGATGACTTTCGCCAAACGCATATATGCGTCCATAGAGCTCTAAGGGTTAAATATATATACATACACACACACACACGATGGCCAATTTTAATCGATTACTGCGAATTACTCGTAAACTATTCCGAGAATGAAAAAAATGTTTCGAATGGGAAATGAATGGTTTCCAGGACGGGATTGACATCACTTTTGGTGTAATTGTTTTTACTCTAAGCGAAAGTGTATAGGCCACAGCAGGAGTTTAGGCTTTGGTGTTTCGAAAAAAAGACCATGATAAATAAGTGTTACCATTTCATATGAAAAAGAACACGTCGTTCATTTGTCAGAAACATCTTACCATTTAGCAAATAGTTTACGCATTTGTCGATTAAAATTGGACATTCTGTATATCTTTATGTGTGTTACAGACAGATACTATGTACATATGCGTGGTTCTGAATACAATTAGTTTATTATAATGTATGTATGTCACTGTAAATTGTAAGTAAAAAACAATATTTTAAGTCGAATTTTTAGGTTGTTATAGATTATTCATATTGTATGTTTATATTAACAAGAATATTTTTACAATTTTAGTTTCATCGTAATATATACGATTAGAGCATGCATAATAAATATATAAGTTTCCAGAGTACATCAGTCGTTGGTGGTATACGTGGTGTGAATAGAAATTCTACAGAAATATACCCTTTAACTTTATTTCAAACATTTATGAAATTATGGTGTTTCGAAGATTATTAAATTTCAAAACATTATTAATATATGATATTAATATCAAAATTTTTTTACAGTGTCTTAAAAGAATAGAAAATTCTTTTAGAGGTTGAAATAGTTTTTTCTTTTCTTTTTCGAGCGATCGCGTAATATAAGTTTCAATGATTAGATATAAAATACTTGGAATATCATATCTACGTTTCATGTCATTTCTATAGAAATGCATTCATCGAAAAGCTGCAAAAATGCAAGCATTCTACGAATATGATATACTATTACTGAAATATTATATAGGATATAAGAGTATCAGCAACTTCGTGATTTTTATTCTTACTTCAAAAATTAAAGCTTTAGTTTAATAACAAATAATAAATAATAATCTTAACATCGATTAACATTTTAAACCGCGTGTTAAAAACGGAATATACTTCAATGTGTCGCTTAAACGAATGATTTTTTTCGCCATCCATATTCCTTACTGGAATTCTAAAATAAGAGCGTGAAGAAGTTGCAATTACATAAGATAAAAATTGGAAAATTTCTTTTCAAATATTATATTTTATATAATTTGTTGATATTAATTGAATGAAATTAATTAAAACTTATAGAAGAAATTTTCTGTTCGTTAGAGCAACTAATGGTGTGTTTCCGATCTGTAACTTTGAGAATTTAAGACATGGACAATTTCGAATTAAGAGAAACGGAAGAAGAAAAATATACGTTTTGGATATTTTTTCAAATGTTCTTTCAATATCTTTTGCGGATAAATTTCGTGAAAATTCACGTGTATCGATTCGGATTTGTTATCCTGATATAATAGTATCACAATCTATCGAGTATTAAAAACATTTTAAACGTTGGATAAAATACGACTAGATAGATAACTCGCAGAAACATAGTTTCATAGTTAATGCAGCACATCTAGTATTTAACTGTCTACGTTTGTTTTTAGGTCCTTCTCAACCTGATGAAGATGATTATGGATACGTCTCGCAAGAAGCGTCTGCATTGTATAATCAGTTGATGAGTAAATACAATAATACAACGTCACAAAAAACAACTTTCAATGAGTGCCGAAAGAAGACAATAAAAGATATAGCATCAACGAAGGTATTTATATTTTAATATCTTATCGTCGATAAAATGAAGCGCGAGTTAACGAAGCGTGATAAATTTTGTGGCCAACTTTACAAGCTATACTCGTAATTCGCATTTTGTAAATTATGATACAGATAGATAGTAGACACTAAGTGCTAGGGTGAACCCTTACTTCTTCATCGTCAAAGTTTTTTTTCTGCTATCCCCAAAATTCTTCTGCTCGATAAGAAAATAATTTTTACAAACCGGGAAGTCGATAGGACAACGAGAAAGGCCACAATTGCTCCTTTAATCATATGTGCATATATATGTGCTATCGATGAATTTGTTTTTATTTGGCAACAGTATGTATGTATAAATTTCAAGAATTTATTCGAAAATTTATGCTTTTAGCGTACAAGAGTCTGTAAATATGAAACTCATTGTTTCATGCGATCAAAAGATTTTCTATTCGAAAGTTCTTTAGCTATTCGATTAACTTTCTTGCTTAGGCCTTTGCCTCGAAAAAGATTTTCTCTATTTTTATATTAATTAACATGACTGTAAAAATGATGGTGACATGCGTCCTACAGCCAGAAAACTCGGTTCACGCCATTCGTAAAAAATTCATAGCGTTCGCATCGGGAATAATGCAGTAAGTTGTTATTGGCACAAGCAATGGACAAGTCTTGCGCGTATTATTTTATAATATATGAAAAATGATGAAAAAAATGATTTAATCTGCGTGCGAATGCAACTTTAATTATTTAATTTACAAAAATTATTAAAAGTTTACAAACTTATTTCATAGCATAACGAGTCACACGTGGAGTAACCTTTTTGTTGGCCGAAAATATCCGTAAGGTGGTAAAATCAACGATGAAAGTTTTACCCCAATTTTCTTATTACATAAACGGGATCTTAGAGACAAATTTTTACTTTAAAGCTATAATAATAGACTTAATAGCACTAACAGTTAAATATTTTTTATTTGGAAAGTTTTGCTCTATCTTGCACAGTTGCAGAGAGTTATAGTTACACAGAGTCAGAGAGATAAAAATTCATTAAAATATTTCATATTGATTTCACTCTTTGCTCTGTACGTACAAATTTTTATAACGAAATAAACGATTTTTGATTTTTCAAACCATTTTGTAGTTTCTAATGAAATTTCACCAATGTATAACTATAACGAGTTAAATGTATACATATAACGAATTTAATAATTTTGTAGCCAGAGAAATATTAATTGTTGGTACCAATAAATCTTTGATGAGTTAATCGTTCACTTGATTTCAAGTTTGAACACATTGATCTTTATAAAGGTATTTAAAATGTAACTGATTGATTTTCGTGCCACGTTAACGAATAAAGAAATGACGACACTTCTGAAGAAATGCCTTTTCCTTTTTCTGGGGTTTGAGGTACGCAATTTTATTTCCTTATATAAATAGAAAATTCCATTGAGAATACGCGAGGAAGCCTATAAACAGCTTCGTTTTGGGCAAGAGAAAATAATTGGTAAGCTTCTTGGAAAGTTATTATCGTAGGAGAATAAAATAGACTGTCTTGCTTGTCGAATAAGTATTTTATTACGTTCTTGATTACGTTTTTGGTTACGTTCTTGGTGAACGAATGCCGAAAAATGCATCCCCTGCTGCCTTAAAGGGTTATAAGGGTGTGTCTCTCAAGTGCAGGTAGCCTTTTCAATCGAACCCTGATCCTGACGTTTAAACAATCCCATCTGTCCATAGTCTTAGAATCTCGGCAAAATCTTCTTAGAAATCGGTCGAGGAGCTTTTTCTCGACGGAAGACGAGCGACATCGATGAAAGTTGTAAATAAAGTATCTACGGTAGAATTAATAAGGTTAACCCTTTCCACTCTGAACAATATCTAATATCACCTACCAGCAACTCCGAGTTATTTCATCTTTCCTGTTAGCTCTTATAGTACCAGTCAAGTGAAATTTCATTTTCGTTAGTTCTACTAAAGGTGTACTAGTATAATATCTATTAGTAAACATATGATAACTGTGTGCGTCAGGAATATTTTATCTGACAATTTTTTATATAAATACAGTGGAACTCTAGTGTTGCAACATTCTAATGTCGCGACAACTGAGTTATAGACTAGTTTGCAATGTCGCCGCAGTCCTCGCGTGGACATTATTTATAACGTATAACCTGTCCTCCTTTATATCGATTAACTTTTAGTAGATATGAAATATGTATTACACATAGAGTGCTGGACAAAAGTATTGGCACAGCATGGTCGTTGTGGTACATGTGCTTATAACTACTAAACAAATTGATTTGTAGAAAAAACTTTTTCACATATTCATTTGTTATTTATTATAGTTTATTACACAGTAGAAGCAATAATATAAGTACACTGATTCACGAAACAATAAGAAAAATGCATTTATTGAACATTTTATGGATGGACAAAAGTATTGGCACACGATCCTAAATGTAGTATCCGCATTTGTTTGAAAAATTTCCGATCGTCATTTTAAAATCTAGTTAGGTGACACTCTGATTGTCGTTTTTAACAACAATCATCCTAAATTTCAGTCGTTTAGCAACAGGGAAAATAAGAAAATGTAATAATGCGAAGAAAAGCGAAAGAAACGACAAGTGAAGAGAGAGAAATAATACTAAATTTGTATAAAATGTGAAAATCTTATAGCGAAATATCGTTAATTGTTATCAAAAGTCGTTTTACTATTAGAAGCATTGTAAAACAATTAATGAATCAATCAAATTTTGACAGTGCGAATCGAAGTGATCGTCCTTTTAAGTTATCTTCCTCTAGAGAAAAACGTAAAATTGTAAACGAAGCGAAGAAAAATCTTAAATTAAACACCTCGGAGCTCAGAATGATATTAAGTAAAGAATGTTAAAAAGAAATAAGTTCGAAAACTGTGCGAAGTGTATTAAAAGCTGCTGGATATTCTGCGTGTGTTGCGCGAAGAAAACCATACATATGGGGAAAAAATCGAAAGACGAGAGTTGAATTTGCCAAAAAATTTGTAACGAAGGATTCTACATTTTGGAGTAACATACTGTTTTCAGATGAAAGCAAATTTAACATATTTAAATCCGATGGTAGAATATTAGTTAGTTGGAGAAAGCCAAACACCGAATTGGATTTACGAAATTTACAATCGAGTGTAAAACATGGAGGTGGTTGAGTTATGGTGTGGGGTTCTATGGTAGTGTGGGGATCCTCCCCCACACTCGTTGAAGTCGGCTAAGTCACAGGTATCCTCGTGGTTGGGATAGCTAGAAGGGACGGTAGGAAAAGGAAAAGGATGCGTTTCGTCCTGGGCCTGCTAGCGGACTCATCGGTAAGGCTTGCTTAGCAGGCCCTGCCTTAGACACTGGGGATACTATTGGAAAGACGGGAAGTTATATATATAGGAACTGGGAGTTTTCCGAGGACTTGCGGGAAAGTCCTCGAAGGCGGAATCCATTTAGTGGCGAGGGCGAGAATGATGGTCGCTACAGCAGCATCTGGGGTTGGCGAATTAATTTTTATAGATGATGTTATGGACAAATACACATATTTAAATATATTGAAACAAAATTTATTCAAAAGTACGGAAAAATTAAATCTCCCACGGAATTTCTATTTCCAACAAGACCGCTTACATCGTACGCCATCGAATCATTTATAATACTTCTCATTCCCTAAATACACCACCTCAGAGTCCAGACATGAATCCTATCGAACATGTCTGAAACGAATTGGAAAAAATGATTCGAAAACATCGTATAAGAAGAAAAGCAAACTGGAAGAATCTTCTTTTGCAAGAATAGAATAAAATCGAGCAGGATTTTACAAAAAAGTTAGTTGATTTAATGCCCAAACGATTAAAAGAAGTTCTTAAAAGGAAAGGAGGGCCAACTAAATATTAATATTTAATTTCAAGTCATTTTTAAACGTTTTTATTCTAGTGTGCCAATACTTTTGTCCACCCATAAAATGTTTAATAAATACATTCTTGTTATTGTTTCGTGAATCAATTTATTTATATTATTGCTTCTACTATGTAATAAAACTAGAATAGATAATAAATGAATATGTAAAAAAGTTTTTCCTTCAAATCAATTTGTTTAGTAGTTATAAGCACTTGTACCGCAATGACCATGCTGTGCCAATACTTTTGTCCAGCACTGTATATGATATAGTAAATTAAAGTTTACTCGGTAAACATTACGGTATATTCCAGTGAAAATTACTGCAAAAGCTGAACTTTGATCGTCTCGAATTCGTCTCGATCGTCTGTCATTTTCAGGGATGTAAAGAAAACTATACTTGTATGTATAAAACTTGCGTAATATGGAGAGGGGCTGTATCATTGCTAGTTACAATATTTTTGAAAGTATACAGTTTTCGGGGATTTCAAGATTAACTTGAAAAATGACCGATCGAGAAAGAGAGAATGCGGGACATAAGGATATTTTAGAGGACAGTGTAGAAGAGTAATGTAACGAGATTGCGAGTAGCAAACGTTACAGTTGTAGATTAACGATAGCTCATCTTTTCTCTGTGTGAGTGGTAACTCTTGTGTTTTGATAACCTTGGTCTTCTACAGTTATACTTTTCTATCCCTAGTAAAATAGCGAGTGTTTAGATGGTTTTAATGACTGGCAAATAGTAAGATCTATTATATGAGATCTAAAAAAAATAGTGGCTGTAGGTATAGTCTTAACTTATTTGCATCATACGAAAGCGTGGAAAATTGATCCATATCGCGAAAATTTTTTTTTTATCGATTAAAGATAGAAATATTCCAAAATGATGAAAAAACAGAAAACAAAATGGCGTACACAGAGAATTTATAATTTTATTTAGCTCATTGAAGTTATATATTGAAAATAATTTGAAAAATTAAATTTAACAGTTTTACACTCGAAATGGCGAATACATATAGCCACAAGGCAGCTATCATACTGATAAAATGAATTTTTTCTTTTTTTTTTTTTTTCTGATAAACAAACTATACGACGTTTACGAGCTTTCCGTGATGTCATTGTAAGACGATAACCAAATGATTACAGAGAAATACTTTAATCCGTTTGCAATCATCACTTTCCACTAACTGCGTGCATACGCTCTGTGACTATGCACGCTAGCGTTTTGTTCTTATGCAGAAAAAACTAGCGCGCATAATGGTGAGCAAAAGTCCGCGCATATATGCGCTTATATGCGTTTATATGCGCTTATGATGCAAATGGGTTAGATACGAATGGATTAATAGCAGGTTGTAGAGTGTTGGAGTAAACGTAAGTAATTTACGACGTGGCCTGTAAGGGTCTACATGTAGTGGGAGAGTTTTCCGGCTGTGGAAGAAAACTTCAAAATCCTGGGTTAGTTGTCGAGAAGAGACGTTTAAGTACACTGTCGGACGGGGGCTCCCTTGAGTATCTCTAAAATATATCCTTTAACCGGTGTTGCGATACGACGAGTTTTATCTTCTAATTCAACGTAGAGAAAGAGCAAGGAATACATTTTACCCTTTTCGGACTTGACTATTTTTCACTAAAGGATCCACCTAGCCATGAAGCTTTGAAGCGCGAATAGGAGGAACGAAGAAACGATAATTTCGAAAGATCTATAAAAGATGTAGAAATTATAATATTTATTTGATATGTATCGTAGAGATATCGCGAATACGTTGATTATAAGAAACTAAATACTATTAGCCGTCCGAACTACTTTCTACCGGAAGCGTCCGGTCGACTATCTGCCGGAATTAGTTCTATCTATTACACTGTTCAACAAATTTGAACTTTTTTATAAATCTGTAATACCCATTAGCTAACTTTTGTACAGCTTACTTTCCCGAATACGAAACCGCAAACGAAATAGCTCTATCGTCCTGAGTTTTCGAGAAATATGAGTTTCTAAAAGCGCACGTTTTTTGGTTAAAATGAAAGATTATACGAAGACTAAAAAAGTTAGGTGAGAGTTTGACTGCGTGATGAGTTTATACTGCTTACGCGTTGCGTTGGTAAAATATATATTTTACTATCCTATCAACATTGAACATCATCGCGACCATTTTCTCTGGGTTGATTTTCTTCTTTCGTCTTTAGAAATGTCTATAGTATACGATAACGTATAGCAAATTCCTGTTGGATTCTTTATGAAAATCGAGCTTTCTATGAAAATGTAAGAATAGTGCGCGTAGGGAGTACGCACGCTGGACGGCTTATTTTGAAACTTTAATGACCAACTGCAATTATTCTGTGGGAGTTGCGTTTGTCTGTCCTCCTCCTGTCCTGTTCCTCTCTCTGTAAGGGGACCACAGCAAAATGTGGTCGATTGAAAAGGATGCATTTCGTCCGAAGGCCTGGCTAAGTGGACTCATCCTTGACCCTTTCGGTACTACTCTGCCGCGTTAAGGCGGCATCCACGGAACGCTCTGTGGGTCCTACCGTCGCCTATAGGCGGCGTCCACGGATACTATCACCGCACTGCCTAAAATCGGCAGTTATGACAGGTTATGTGGATATGATTACACTCTATAGTACGCATTACTTTACTGTCCTCTGTTTAAAATTCTGGCTGCTCGAATTATACCATTATATATGTTAATCCATGTGCTGGAAGAATTTATTTGAATGAATTTTTTGATGAAGAATTATTTGAATTTGTTATTTATTATGTTATACCGTTAGTTTTGTCATTTATTATATTATACTATTAGTTTTGTTATTTATTATGTTCTACTATTAGTTTTATTATTTATTTTAATTTTGTGATATTGGAACAAATTATTTATATCAATGCCATTTACTTTAATTAATATACTATGAAGAATTAAATATGATTTTAAAACGTTAAGCGTCAAGCCTGTTTTGTTTCCCTTTCCGTCTGGTCCGCGAAATAAGATTCTGTGAAAATCGGCTTTCGGCCGAGGATTGGTTTAGGCTGTCGCGCTTTCGTACGGCAGCGTCAGCCGCTCCTACGGAAAACTTGCCGGGCCCACGAACGTACTACCGCGGCCAACTGCTCCGTACCGAAAGGGTTAAGGCTACCTAGCAAGCTCTGCCTTGGACGGGGATACTATTGGAAAGTTTGGAAGTTCTATATACAGGAAGCGGAGGGTTCATCGAGGACTTGTGAGAAAATCCTCGAACCTCCTTGAACCTGGAATCCATCCATTGGATTTGCCGCCACGATACAAAGGCATAAATAATTATAATTCTAGATATAGATAAACTTAGGAAACTCTCTCACCCAACTTTTAACATAACAACGAACCTGTTTACTTTTTTACCTTTTTACTTTTTCATATTTTTCAAAAAACTGAGGGTGATATTTCCGTTAATTAAGGAAGGTAAGCTGTACAAGAGTTACCGAATAGGTAACTAATTTTAATTACAGATTAAAATTCGCGCTGAATAGTGTTATTGTAACGGAGATGGTTGATATCGTTCGAATATTAATTATGTTTTAAATGAACAATTAAAGAATGGAGGTGATGTTCGAAGTAGGACTTGTAAAAAAATTACAACTTGTATCTTAAGATTCTGTATACGATTTCTACTTTCTCGTTATTATAGTAGCGAAGAATTGGAATTTTCTTAAAGTACCGAACTGTGATTTCAGGACAGAGTAAAACAAGCGTTAAAGCAGCAAGAGGTAGAAGAAGCTTTAGGACATCGTCGAAAAAGAAAGCTTTCCGTGAAAGAGGTAGAGACCGAACCGGAAGAAAAAGTGGAAAAGGATGTGAAAGACGATAAGAAGGAAAAGGAAGAAAAGTCAAAAGCGAAAAGGAAACCTATGCCACCGCCAATCGATTTTACCGAATTGTTAAAAATTGCTGAAAAGAAGCAACACGAACCGATCATTATCGAAGTTAAGCCAAAAAATGAGGAACCGGAAAGATTGCTAACAAAGAAGCAAATGAAAGAATACGCGAAGGAAAAGGAATGGCGAGAAAGAAAAGAACAACGGAATAAACTCGGTAATGCGAGTAGTAAAGGGAACGAGGGAAACGTTGTTACAGTTAACAAGCCGAGTAAGGCACCAGACAATCGTAATAATAGTAGTAACAAAATCCCAAAAATTGCTGAAAAAGTCACCTCTTCACCGGTAATTCCGAATAAAATTCCTTCGAAAGTAACAAATTTACAAAGTTCGACTTGGAAAAAAGGTATGGAGAAAAGTAATATCAGCAAGCCCAGTGCAAACAAATGCAACGTTTCGAAAACATCGGAGAGAGACATACTTTTGGAAGAAAGAAAAAAATTGGAAACAGAGAGAAAGAAATTAGAAGAAATGCGACAAGCTATCGAAGAAGAGAAGAAGAAATTACGATTAAGCAAAACGCAAAACGAGGAGGTAAAAAATACGAAGCCTGAGAAGTGCTTACCAAAAATAAAGGTCCCAGAAAAACAAGAATTATCGAAGAATGTAAACAAGGAACCTGCAGTACCTAAAATTACAAAACCTCGTGTACCACTGAACGATGAAGTAAAACAGTTTCCTCCAGCAGATCTTAAGCCGATAAAACCAAAACAGATACCTCAAAAGAAGACGCTGGTTAATCATAAACGTAAGCGATTTTATATTTTTTCTTTCTCAACTTACTATTAACTTTATAATAACCTGCTTAAGTTATTAACACTCTAATTTTAAGCCTTTAGATTTCTTTAAACATGTTTCATATTAAGATATACTGTGTCGTCAAATATAGAATATTTTTAACGAATTCGTCGTAAAATTCCGATAAAAATTTACCATAACAATTACTTTCTATGCTAATCATTTAACCACCGCGCTGTTCCCCCACATGGGTATATACTATTACGGTAAATTTAGAAAATTTACATTTTATTTGATTTTTATTCGAGTAAATTTTATTCAAGGAGATTTGTTTTTCAAATGCAAAGAGTCGAATCAGACATTAACTGCTACCTGTAATACAAAGTGTTTACGGAATCGAAAATAAACGAAAAATGTAGAATAAAGGTTTTTCATGCTAGGCTCCTTATTTTCGTTTCGAGAAAATTAATTTTCTACATTTGTAGAGTACACGTGTGTTAATGGTGGATGAAATTTTAATAAGAACAAGGACAATTGTTTATTTAATTAGAAAAATTATAAAACACAAATATAACGTTTAAATATAATTAATTTCTCACAATTACTCTATCATAGGACTTCTCACTATTGTAACTCAATTGCAACTAACATATCCGAAATCAGTCACCTTTTTCTTCATTTGTTACATTGACACGCGCCCACAGGCACACAGAGAGACACACACACATTTATCATAATAACTTGAACTCATTACATATTGGAATCCCATGCATACTTGTTCCACTCATCCCAACATATATATACTTAAAAATCTATGTAACCACTACTTCGTACACTCGATCCGACCTCGTAGCCACAGCTAATGCTTTCATTTCTGATTATGTAGCAGCATAAAAGCAAAATAGAATTCAATCTCATTTATCGTTTATTCCTATTCTATCCCTATTCTATCCCTATTCTATCCCTATTCTATTTCTATTCTATTTCCATATAAAATATAAATTGCGATTTTGTTTAATAGTGTAAAGCATTTCTTAGCAGACGATCCGAACATTAACGAGACTAAACGAGGTCCACTGACACGCAGCTTAACGTGGAGTACACTTTTTGTTGAATTTTTAAACAATTCGAAACAATCGAAATTTTATCTTACGAAAAAAAGAAAAGTTTGGTCTTTTGAAATTGCATAATTCTAATTGTAGAGCTATCGAACTGTGATGTGTACGTCGTAATGAACGTAAACAGGTGCATAACAGGTATATATAATTACCTTCCTATTTCAATAAAAACGAATATCAACTTTACCAAAAGCAACAATATGTTTTCGGTAACTGCAAAAATTTGAAACTAATCTCCATTAGTTTCATAGTTTTGGTATTTAATCAAGACGTTTGCTTTGGAAAAGTACAGAGTAAGTTTCTAGTTAGATTTACGCTGGATTTTGCATTATGTAACATGAATTGAAATGAAGAAATAGGTCGCAACGTTCTTCTTCTCCAACTGAAAAAACAGGAAGGGAGAGAGAAAATAACTAAAAAACATTTTCCATATAAACTGAACCTTTTGTTCCTGAAAAATTTATTTTTTATTACAATGGATTAATAATTATAAAATAATTACAGAATAACAGTTATAGTATAATAATAATGAATAACAACGATGACAATATATACTTGAAATTTTGTTTTATTTTCATAGTGCTGCATTTATATGTGTTCTATTACGCTGCGCTTTTTTATAATCATTACATTTGTTGCGTCCCTAGTCTCACAATTCCCTTGAGTTTCGCGAGGTTGTACCCAAGTTTCTCGACGCGACTATGTGCCATGCTATTAAGGATGCTGACCTTAATAGTCTTATCTATTTGTAGATTATCTTTTCTTATTTGTAAAGTTCTGTAGTTCCGTCTAGTTCCGCGTTTTACCGAATTCTCTCTGATTCTGTCTTGTTCCGTGATCGATCGAGTTCCATGTATCTCCGATTGCGTAGATCTTTTTTCTTTTATTGGTTTGTCTTGCATTGTAAGGGGATGAATTTTGCACTGAAGGGGGAGATATTGTCTTAATTAGTAACTGTTTAAGGGACAGGCGGGTTAAGGAAAACTTTGGTGGAAATCTATTGGTGGAGTGTATCGTGATATCAGGTAAAGTGAAACGGATCAGGGCGAGGACCTGACAAGTTTATCGTCGGTATGACGTTTCGATTCTTTAGCGTTCTTTACTTAACTTGCTACTTGGTTATTATTTACTTACACGTTGCAGGATACGCGTTTCAACGACATCGTCTGTCATTGTGTCTTCTCGTTGCTTCAAATACCGAAGAAGTATTATAGATTTAACATTGAAGTACCATCGTTGTGATTAAATCTTTCATCGCCAACACCTTCATCGTCCAACTCATTTCCAAGTATTTTCGCGTCGTTTTACCGCTGAGCAGAAATCAGCAAAAAGGATTACTCTTCGTCTTTCTCTTGCATTCTTGAACGGTAGATACAGCTAGATCGAAATAAAAAACAATCGGTTTCAGTGTGCCGTCCGAATCTATTCTTTGCGATGTCAAGATTTTGCTGCCTAACGACTCATATTTTCACTTTGATTTATTCGATTAACACGTAACAACGATATTATAAGTATTAATAAGCCTATCAAAGTGTATGAATAAGTAACTGAGAGAAAAGATCTTGAGATAAGGATAAAAGATAAGGAAGTCGTGAGATCCGTGTATTATAGATATATATGTAGGATCGCGTTGTGTGAAGGGGCTAAAGTAGCGTTGCTTTACTTCTAATAAAATACAATAAGCTTATACTTATATTATCGGCTACGAAACTAGAGAGACAGAAGTCCCGCTACGGATACGCTCGACTTTTACTTCTTAGAAGACCTTACTCTTGAAGACCTCGTGAAGATAACAATCTTTAACAAAAGATCGCTAGAAACTGCCTCGCCCGCGCCCTTCTACCCTTATTTAAACCATTCATTCTGTCCTCGTCTATACCCACGTTCTCTTTCTCAATCGGTCGGTCACGTATCCTAAACGCTTCTTTCTAAGCCCAAACACACTTAACATTCTTTCAGGGCTGTCCTTATTCCATTCCCACATATATAAACACGAATAACCGAAAATCCCCGATAATCGAAGCCCTACTGTATTATTAAAGATCATTAAGATTCGTTTTGGTAAATTTTTATTTGAATGCGTAGGTCTTATAAAGAACGAAGCAGCCGATGACGAGGAATATGATTCTGAGCTTGAAGATTTTATCGACGATGAGGTAGAAGAACACAGCGAAGATTACAGTAGATATATAAGTGAAATATTTGGTTATGATAAAAATAAATATAAATTTGTCGACAACGAAGACGATGTTGCTATGGAAAGCAGTTTCGCGCAACAACTGAAGGAGGAATATGTGTCAACTAAAATAGGTAATTCTAGCAAACCATTTACGATATTACATAGCCTTTCTAGCTTTTTTCTTATCTACCGAAATAATGAAATAAAATTATATGCTTCAGGTATTATGGAGGATTTGGAAGACATGCGGATAGAGGCTTTGGAGAAAAAACGAAAAGCTCGTTTAAAAGGAAAATTGAAAAAGTGACTATAATATTGTTTATAAATTTTTATTAAATTCTATTTAATAAACTATTATATGCTCGTATAAATCGAAAATTATTAAAATTTCCTTATAAAAATTCCTAATTTAGATATTATATTATATTATATTATATTGTATTATATTATACATTGATTCATTTCTTTAATCTGATAGACTCATTTTTTATTTTATTACATTGGAATTGAATTTATTCGAGTATTAAGACTTTTTTGTTTCATTTTATTTGACAGTTATCTCGTACGAATATAGTTGAAATTGCATTACCATTTACAGCAGAGTGGTACATTGCTGGGACTTGTTAGGTACCTATTCTCCTTCCCTTCTATTTCCTCACCAAATGTGTCCATATTATTAAAACAAGAATTTGCGTTTAGACAACTGATTTGTAATCTGAAATTCCCGTCTAAAGGGTATAACTTCTATTATTTTTAACATATTCTCAAAAATTTTTAATGTTAATTATTTACTAAGAATGTATATTGTTTTGTTATTATGGTTATCGCTACACATTGCTGTACCTTTTAATAGTTGGCAAAATAAAATGTCAAATTTCAAAATAATTGGTTTTGAAAGTTAACGGTTATAGTTGCACTATTTCATCCGGTTGTTTGGTTAGAAATGTCTGCAGAATTAGATAATGCGCATAGTTTTCGCGTCAGGTGAGTAGCTTTCCGTAATAAATCGCAAATAATTTCGTATAAAAACATTGCATGGAAAGTATGTATGTCGGTACATACATACGTTAACCTTTAGCAATCATTTACGATAATTTAGTGACTTCAAATATTATAACCATCGATATTAACATATTCGGAAATCTCTATATTTTAAGCCCATGTGGACTCGACTAATTTTTCTACTATTTATGGAATAGCTCATTTTTAGCAAGAAATCTGGTTTTTTCTATAAGGATACGTTGTTTTTTCTCTCTTTTTCTTCTTTTTTCTTCTTTTTTCTTCTTTCTTCTTCTTTTTTTTTCGAAAACAGAAAACCATAGAGCAATTTGAATTTCGAATACGTATTGAAAACGAGGAATCCTACTAAGAATACGTAGTGAATATTACAGAACAAAAAAGAAACATCTAAATTTGCAGAACAGTGCAATTTTTTACGTTAAAACAAGTTATTTTATTTATTAAAGATACCGTTATGAATAATAAAAAGAAAAAATCGTTCATACGATTAATAATTTTAAGAACAATCTTAAAAGGTATTCATTAGTAACTATACGTTCAATTGTACATGTCTCGAAACGAGTCTGCTTGCAAATTCGATTAACATCCTTCTGTTATTTAAACTCGACAATCTTAAGACAAGCAAAGACAAAAAACGAATATGAAAAATCGAATTTTTATTATTTTTATTATTTTTATTATATCGTTATACCGATGTAGAATAATTAGCGAGTTTTAGGAGATTCGTAGAGTAGAAGGTAATTTTGGATAATAAATATCGTGACAAAGATTAAACATAACGTCGACTCTTTAGAAGGTGGAACTTTTTTTTCATAAACGTTTAGAAATAACGAGAGAGTCTATTAGTTGCTAACCAGGCTAACTGGCAGTTGCTCCTCAACCTGGATGAGCCGGACCAGAGGGTTCGTCATCGCAACAGGGGAATCGTTCGATCCATGGCCCTTTGCGAGACTCCAGTTTGGCCCGACTATAGGTGGTGAGCAAGCGGAGCTACAACGAGTCACGCAGTATAACGAGAAGGATGGCCATCAGGATCGAGTGAGATTATCGCACTATTTTCCACGAGACGGCAACAGTTCTGGAGGAACTAAGGCCATTCAACCTGTTGGCGGAGGCGGTCGTTCGTGTCTTCGAGATCCTCCATTGGGATTGCGAGGCGTCCACTGACCTCGGATGAAATCTCTAAGCGATATGCCAAGTTCGGCGGTCCATATTAACATCTTAGCGCGCTCGTAGTTTCTTTTTAGCTGCAATAGCCGGGTAGCTTACTCACAGGGCTGTCGGGTCTGTGCTCTCAATTTTGAACTGATTGTGAGTAAATAGCGGCGAAAAGTTAACCTAATCGCCTCACGCAGGTGCTGACCGAGCATTGTTGCTTCGCGAGTACTTGTAAAAGATAAGATGGAAGACGGTGGTACAGTGCCGTCAATGCGGAGTCGAGATAGATCCGGCGCAGCACACGCTGAACGAGTGGACTGCGAACTTCGTGTCTTCTTCGAGTACTTGACACGGGACTTGCCGCTTTCCGCGATTAGTTTCGACAGACGGTGCAGTGCGAGAGGTTATGGAAAGAGATGGCTGCCTTCTGTGAAAACGTCATGCTGCAGGAGATGGCGGAGCGGGTTCGCGAAAAACCGGAACCCTCTCGGAGTGGTAGAAGATGACGGCGAGTGCGTTATTGCATTGCTGCCCCATTTCTAGGGTTTAAACCGCGTGATGATGAGATTCGGCTTGTTGGCGGACAGTTTAATTGGTAGAGTCGGTTGTCAGGGAGGCCACGGTGGAAGAATGGCAGTGCCGCGACATGGCCTCGTCGGAGTATAGCACCTTTTCCCCTTGGATGGACTTATGCCGCTGAAAAACACTGACGCATCGTTGCGGTAATCTCCCCGCCGCGCCCCCCCCCCCCCCCCCCCCCCAAGCATCTCCACTAGTGCGACTCACTTGAAAGAAGAACTTCATCATCGACTTTGCCATGGAGAATGTTTCGTCTTCTTCGATTAAACGAAACACGTCGTTTAGACAATTTACATCAAGAAAAATTGTCACTATTACATCCGAATAAAGCATTTGCGAAGAATTTCTATTCCGTCGTGGAACAAAACCAAGCCGGAAAGACACCGTTACAGTTTTCCAATAGCGGAGTTCTAAGTGCCAGAACAATTCGACCATCGGAATTTTCTATTTTTACCGTGTCGTCGTTGCGTATTTTTAGAAAAATTTCTTTTTTTTTATAGTTTCTCATGTTTCAGGGCACGAGAAGAAATTCGACCTCTAATTTGACCGAGTTAGGTGACGGCACTCAAGATTTTGCTAATAGATTTGCAAGAGATCGAGACGAGTCCGCGGGCATTGGTACCGTTAGACCCTAGTAAAGGGGATATAAATGGAGAATGACAAGGACACGGTTACTTTTCGAAAAAATTTCACTAATGTGCAAGTGACCCCCATAGATTTGTGTACACGTACTGAAGTACGAGTTACCCCCACCACCGTCTTAATTAGGCCGATTCTTCTTCTTCTTCTTCTTCTTCTTCTTCTTCTTCTTCTTCTTCTTCTTCTTCAAGGGGAACACCGTTGGTCCAATTTAGCCAATTAGGAAACTCCGCTCTTCGGCGAAATCCAGATTTTCATGAAAATCGAAGTGAGCGAAGCGAAAATTTGTATTTCATTCTTGGTCAATGTCAGCCTGCCTTCTAGCGTGTGCACCACAAACTGTGACGTGAAAATTTACGAACCGAAGATTGTCAAACACGGCAGTTTCACAGAACGATATTGAACCGAATGATCGTTATTAATTTGGTGGGCAGCAGTAGAGATCGCGAGACAGCTGAAATTTTCCGGGAGATCAATCGCAACGCGGAAACCTGGGTTGTTTGCTAAATATTCAAACACTCGCTCGGTAAATGTGATTCTTATACACCTATCATCTTTTTCAACGAGAGTTAATGTACTAACCCAATCAGCCAACTGTTTTTACTTTTTCAATTACAACAACATATTTTAACTTTTTTGCTAACCTGTAATATCCATTACAGGCGATGATTCTCGTAGAATTTAATTTTCCGAATGGGAATCCGTAATCGAAATTGCTCTATCACCCTTTCCGAATTTCCGAAAAATGTGACTTTTTGTAAAAACGCGCGATTTTTGGCAAAAATGAAGTTTATTATATAAAAAGTAAGAACGTTAGGAGGTTGGTTGCTGCCTTCCAAGTTAGGCAGTGGTTAGGTGAGAGTATCCCGAATTTATCAATTATTCGTTCGAGTTTATTAATTATAATTTTTTCTACTTCTGGATAACTATAATTGATTATCAGAATGTAAAAATAAGCCTCCGAGTGTATATTCTACGCATATTCTTGTGTTTCTACAAGAAGTTCTATATCTGAGGCTAATTTGCCACACAATAGCGTATTCCTCGGTTTTTGCCAAAGAAGAAACTATCCAGAAACAATATCAAGATGATGTTCGATGTTAACAGGACGGTATAATATACAGGGCATCCCGCAAGCTCAGGCCTTCGCTAGGGGTAACAAACGGCCGATGGGGTCACCGGCGCGCGGGTGAACCCCAGGTACCCCACCTTGGAGGAGAGGGTTTCCTCCATATATGTATCGTGGTTTTTCGGGGGAACCTTCCCTCACTCCAAGGTAACGGATTCGTGAACCAAGGGAACGCCCTTGGTCGAGGACACTTCTGAACGAGCGCTCAACGACATCGGGTCTTTCCAACGAGTTCCGAACGAAACATCAGAGACAACAGTTCTCTTCTAGCACGAGACGATTTTCGTATCTCCTCGTTAAGTCGACGAGATACCGTGTCGCGTCGAATCGTCCATCCACATCGGGATATCTTCGTGCCTTACAACCGCGAAGACGAATTATTTCGGGCGGAAACCACGCGACCAGGAAGATCAAGGGAACGACGCGATATACCCCCTTGATACCTCCGAAACAGGCCCGTTTACGCAGATGCGACAATGTTGCTGGGACGCAGCCTACTCTAACTGAATAGAGATAGACCTGGTTAGGATTGAACTAACCAGGCTGATAGTCTGGTCGTGATGCTTGTCCCACTTTCGTGATATTTTTAAGAGAACTCTCTCGTAACTACTGTCACTGCTGTGGTTTTATAAGTTTTGTCTACCTATTGATTGATTGGTGTGAAATGTAAGAGGTGGGTGTATATTTTCCTATTGGTTGTGAATAATATTTGGGGTGTGTGTTAGCTTCGACGTGTTTCGGTGATGGTGAATGTTTAAACAATTTGGGTCCTTATGCCTATC